CCCACCGCCGCTGCGCGTCCGTCACCAAGTGCTGACGCGCCGCCTGCTGCAGCTGCCGCGCGAGGCGCTGGCACGTAGCGAGGCTGGGGCCGCTGCTGCCGCCGCTGCCGCTGCCGTCCGCACTGGCGAGCGGCGGGTAGCAGGGGCCGACAGCGTCTGCTCAGCACGGATGTTGCTTGCGCACTCCCCCATGCACGTGCCAATCAAGCACACCTTAACTGGTGCTGTCATTGCAAAGGCCACAGACCCACCGCCGTCCTCGGCCCCCGGCTGTCAAGTCGTGACCGCGCTCACCCCTTCGCCTTGCCCTTGGGCGCCGCCGTTCGCCTGCGCGCGAGCCCCGCAGCCAGCGCCTCCACCACCTGCTGCTCATCCGCCAGACCCACCAGCTCAACCGTCGTAAAGCCGGCCGCAAAGAGGGCGCGCGCCTGGGACGGCTGCATGCCCTTGACCTGCGGCGCACGCCATCCGGTTGAGGGATCTGAGGTTGCGAGCGGGCTTCAGCCGGCGGCGAGGCCGGCAGGCGATTCGGGCACGGCGGCCGGGCGGTCGGGGCGACACTGGCAAACTCTGCGACGGCGGGCTGTTGCCGAGCTGATGCACTGTCAGAGCCCTGAAGTCGAGGTTTCCCTTTGAGCCCATTTGTAGTGCCTAGGTATTCCCTGGGGTACTGATGCGGGCGCATTCGCAGGGCCCCAGGATCCCACGTGAAGGGGCATGGAACCAACGGACTTTTGCACCTGGCCTCCCCACAACCCGACACACCCATCAGCGGCGGGCGACTGGGGCCCCGCAAGCAGGCATGGCCCCGCAGCAACGCACCTCCATGAGCCCAAACAGCTCCGCCCGCACGCCCGCCGCCGCCTGCGCCGCGAGGGCTCCCAGCAGCAGCTCGAGCTGCCACCAGCCGGCCTCTGCACACAGCAGGCCGGCCATTGCGGCCTTCTTAGCCAGGTCGCCCTGCAAGCGCTGCAGGGTTCCACGGGTTATACCTGAGGCAGTTGGTGCAGGTGCACATGGTTGTGTGTTTGGGGTGGGTGCGCGCATGTGTGTACGGGCGCGCGCGCGCGTGCGCGTGCGTGTGTGTGTGTGTGTGTGTGTGTGTGTGTGTGTGTGTGCGTGCGTATGTGTGCGTATGTGTGCGCCCGCACTGCCCACCACCTTGGTTGATTACGTGCGTGGAAGATTAGGAGAGGCTGGTTGTTGTGGGGGTTGCGTGAAGTGCACCTGGCACGCGCCTGCTCATTTTCAGGAGCCGAGGGGCGGCTGAGACTGGCCCTTATGCTCCATGACGCTCGTGCCTCCTCCCCCTATCACCCTCGCGACGCGTGTGCCCCCCTCAAGTGATCATGCCGTGCTCACCCTCCTTAGTAAGGCGCAGGGGCTGCCCCCAGTCCTCCTCGATCCCGGCGGCGTCGCGCTCCGAGATCATCAGGTCAATAAGCACCTGGTTGAGGAGAACGTTGGTGGTGGTGGTGGCGGAGGATTGGGGGGGGGGGAGCAACGACTTCACAGCATCCCTAGTTATTCTGCTGGCATTGGAAGGCTGAGATTGACAGCAAGGTCAAATCTAGGCAATGAGGAGGTGCCTGGTATCTCGGCATCCGCAAAGGCTCGCAAATGTTTGCGGCTGTGAACTGCTTTGAAGCAGCCTGCTTGCGCCCTGCCCCGCCTCGCACGTGCACACCGCTGCTGAAACCAGTGGGATCAGGCAGGAGCGGCCAGCGCGCCGCTGTGAGAGGCGAAGAGCGACGCCCCAGCAGCCGCGGCACGCGTGCTCACCGCAGCCGCGAGCCGCGCGTGCCGGCCGTCCTTCTCGACCGTGCCGCGCACGCCGCGCATACGCTGCGTCGAGTATGACTCAGCGTCCGGCGCCACGACCGCCGCCACCTGCCTGATGGTTTGTATAAGGGGCCGGCATGTTGGTGAGGCAGGGGCAGACTCGGCAGCAAAATGAGTAAGTCACACCTGAGTCAGCATACCATTCGCACCGCACCCTGCGAGCTGCTGCGAGGCCCCGCAAGTCTCAATTGAAAAGTTGGCATGCACCATCCAATGCTGCATGCTTCCCAGACCCGCGTCGCAGACCGCTGCGCCCCAAACGCACCCCGCAGTGCCGGGCACCCTGCGGCTGCCCTCGTCCAAGGCCGCGTGCGGCTGGCCCCGCCCGCAACAGCCCTGCCCCTCAATCCACATCCAACCACCGACCTATGGTCTGGGCTCAGGCAGCGCAGCAGCTCCGCGTACGCCTTCCACTCAAAGATGGCAAAGGGCGGCTCCAGCAGGAGAGCAAAGAGCAGGTGCGCGCCGGTGCCCAGAACAGCGGTGCTGCGCAGCGCCTGCAGGCGCTCGTGGAGCAACAGGGCCTCGGGCTGTGGTGGAAGTCGGGCGGGTTTGGTATGGTGGGAGGGGGGACTGTGAGCGGGGGTGGGGAGTGGGGGTGGGTCGAACACCGTTGGCCTGTGGTGGCGAGGCGCGCGCACGAATCAGGGCTGACGGCAAGCGGGGGTGCGAACTGCGACAAGAAATTTGCGTGGTACAGTATCTGGGGAAAGGGGCGTGCTGCTTGCAGGCGGCAGCATGATCAACACCTTGCCGCTGACTCACGGCTACTACTACTCTACTCGCCCCTTCCAACGAGCCCGGCCGCCTCCTCACCGGCGGCAGCGTGCTGTGGTATACCACCTTGCCAAGTGGCGCCGGCACCCAGCAGTTGGCGGCCCCTGGCTCCAGCGGCGGCCCGAAGGATGCCAGCTTGCGGGCCCGCAGCGCCACGAGTGCGGCCATGCCGGCCGACGCAACGCGCTCCCAGGGCAGCTGGTGCGCGGCCAAGGTGTGCCTGTGTCGTGCGTGCGCGCGTGCGTGCGTGTGTGTGTGTGTGTGTGTGTGTGCGCGTGCGTGTGTGTGTGCGTGTGTGTGCGTGCGTGTGTGTGTGTGTGTGTGTGTCTGGATGTTCGTGTGTGTTGGGGGGTGAGCACATGCACGCACGCACACATGAATGCGCATGGCATGTGCACAAGTGCGCATCAAGTCTGTGGTGTGGTTAGCTTGTGTATATGCACGCGCAGGGTCGTGCTTTGGCGTGTGTGCACATACGATGGTTGATGCTAGCAGGTATATGACAGCACAAAGCAGGTCTTGCTGATGCAAACACATTCAGCAGCTCGCAGACGCCCTGCTTATCATTCAAACTACATTGCAAAGTACCGCATGCACACGGCCACCGCTCCTGCAGCTCGCACCTGAGTAGCTGGTTGACAGAGGCGCCATCTCCTACAAGGCCGATACTCATGCCCTCCAGCAGCAGCCGCTGAAGTGGCCCTTCCAACTCCACCTCCCAGGCTGGCGACTGCCGGCCCCCCTGGTGACCGCCCGCCGCGCCGCCGCCGCTTCCAGTGCCGGACGCGGCGCCCGGAGCCCCGCCGCCCGCGCCGGGCGCAGCGCCCCCGGCGCCCATGCCGGGCGCTGAGCTGGCGGGTGCTGCTGCGGAGGCGCCCGCAGGGGCGGGCAGTGCCGGGGCGGGTGCAGGCGGGGCGTCCCGGCAGACCAGCTGGCTAACCAGCTCTGGCAGGGGCGCACCCAATAGCGCACAGACCTGCATGAGGGAGGGAGATTCGGCAATGTGTGAGTCACCTGTGCTGATTTCTGGTGGCATGTGCTTTTGGGTCGGGGGAGGGGGATGTTGGGTGGAGCAGTGCAGGGATTGAGGTTTAATTCATGGCATGTGGCATCCCATTTGTTGGCAAAAGGAAAGAAGACAGGCAGTTGCCGGCATAAGAAACACCCAGATCTGCAGCCAAGCTCATCCCCTCGGCAGAGCAGGACGAAAGTCATGGCAGCCATGAGAGGGGCAGCGGCGCAGGCGAGCGGCCCCACCTTGGACCACTCGCCAGCGCCCCCTTTGGCGAAGGGCTCGCCGGCGGCCATCAGGAACGCCTCGCCCACCGCCGACTGGCCTGCGCAGCGCATAAAAAATGGCAGCAGCAGGATAGTGATTGCGCTCGCGCAATTGACGGGCTGCGTGCTGCATCGCAGGTGTCTACGGCTTTGCGCAAGTTGCACGCGCCCACCGATCAGCCGCCTCCTACGCGCATGCGCCACAATTGCCGTGTCCGATGTGGCATGCGCGGTGCAGCCCCCTGTCTTGGATCGGCTGCACACGCGGTGTGAATTCTTACTACTAATTTTTCAAAACTATTCGCAACACCCACCTGCCCTGCCAGCGCGGCCTGCCATCTGCAGGTACTGCGCCCGCGTGACGGGGCCGCCGCCCTGCCAGAGGCTCCGCAGTATCACGCGCCGCGCGGGCAGGTTGATGCCCGCGGCCAGCGTCGACGTCGCCGTCAGCACCTGCGGGCGCACGCGAGAGCGCAGGGCGGGGGGCGTTTCAACACGCGGAAGGCAGCATGCTGCAGGCGGCAGCGGCCTTTTATCTGGCCGTGTTGGTATAGTTAGTGCTGCAGCTGTAAAGCGCCAGGCCAGCCAACAGTGGGACACGGCCCGTCAGTGACCGGCCGTGGACGCCAAGAGAGGAAAGAAGAGAGAAGAGAGAAGGAGCCCGTAACTGCCGCGCGAGCCCCGCGCCCACCAGCAGCGCGCCGCTCCTGTAGCCGCGCTCCACGACGCCCCGCTCCGCCGCCGTCAGGCCCGCGTGGTGGTACGCCACACCAGCAGCTGGTGGGCAGCGAAAGAAATGAGACAGTGCATCAAGGAAGGCCGAGGATTAAACCAGTGCGTCGGGCAGGAGAGCCCATGACAACTGCACCACAGCCAAACGACGCAGCCCCGCCCTTGCTTGTGCCCGGAGCAGGAGCAGTCAGCAGGCCTGCGTGCACAGTTAGCAGGATCCAGGCGCCGAACCTTCGGTCGTCGCTGCACCCCAGCACGAGCGGCAGCTCACCGAACAGCGCCTCCAGCGGCTTGTTGCCCACGTCCCCCAGGCGGCTCCTCAGCTGCAGAATTAACTGCTGCCGAGCCGCACGCGCCTCGGGCGACGGGGGCCCACCCAGAGCGGCGGGCAGCAGCTCCGCAACCTGCCGGTCAGCGGGATCAAGCAAATTCAAAGTTTAATTGCTGCGCAGCGACCTGGGGGAAGGCGGGAAGTACTCAAGCAAGGGCCGTTTTGTTTTAGCATGCATCATGTGTCACAGGCCGCCAACCCCTGCGCCGGCGCCCCTGTCACACCTGCGCGGCGCACGACTCCGTCTGCCGCCGGCCGCCGCAGAAGATCAGCACTGAGTGGCCCTCAGCCACCACCTCGCTGTGCGAAGAGACGCAGGGGGCAGCAAAGCGCAGCGCGATGTCTTATGTCGCATGTGGTGATCTACAGCCCAGCCTGCCACGCGAGTGTCCTTGCAAGGCCGACCACCAGGGGGTGTACTGTCATGGCCGCATGCCTTCATGGCTGGGACACATTCTTGCTGAGTCCCACCTGTTGCAAGCAATGTCCTCTTTGACTCTAAAATGCCGAGCATGTTTTCAACCGCCCCCCCCCCCAACCTGATGAGTGGGATCAGGCGGTCCTTGTCTTTCGGGGCCACCGCCGCCAGCTGGCGCTGCTCCTCCAGCAGGCAGGCCCCCTCTGCACGCTCTGGAGGCAGCGCGGTGGGAGGCGGGGCCAAGCAGCAAAACATACGTTGCATAACGCACATTTGGAAGCAGCAGGCGCGGGCAGCGTCGCGTCAACAATGAAGCCCTGCTGGCCCGCGCACGCAACCTTCTCACGGCGGATTTGCTGGGCAGTACTGCGCTTTGGCCCAGTCGAGCTCACCAGAAGGAGTGAGCTTCTTCAGAGCAAACACGGTGCCTTGGAAGACGGCGTGCTCGCTGAGCGGCACCGGCCTGTGCAGCATGGAGTGGCAGGCACACGGCTGATGAGAGCGACGTCGGAAGCTGCCCCATGCTGCATCCCGGCACTCGCCTGTTGTGGGCGGACAGCTTAGCGATGCTGGAAAGATGACAACACTGCGTGCTGTGACGCAGACGCCTGGTCGAGTGAGCACACCTGTAGTTGGTGAGGAACAGGCGTGCCCCCAGCCAGTCCGCCATCGGCTCCAGCCCCGCCATGGTGGCAGACATGCAGACAATCTGGTGAGCGCGAGCGTGTGTGCATTTGGGGGACGGGCGGCTGAGATTGGTCGATTAAATGGATTGCTCAAAAATCATGCATTATTCTGTCATGGTGATGTATCCCATGTGCCAGGCCAGGGACGACGTGAGGCGCTCATGCTGCATGCAGCATCACAATGCATGTGTTCTCACCTGGGCCCTGCTGCGCGCCGCCACCAGCTTGGACAGCAGCATCTCCAGCGCCACGCCCCTGACGTGCCAGGCGCAGGGGGATAGGGGGCGGTTCCTAATCACCCCAACGCCCCGGCCGATCGAAGTCGCTGTGCACGCACCCCTCCTCTCCAACATGCTGGCGCATGCAGCAAAAGTTGAGCACGACAACTGCGCAACGAGCCTGCTGCCAGGGCGCATGGTCGCGGCCGCGAGCGTCCAGGGCTCACTGATAGAAGCCACTGAATAAAAGCCCCACACCCCGCCCCGCCCACCTGTGTGGGTCCGCCACCATGTGCACCTCATCCACCACAACCGCCGCCAGCTCGTCCAGCCGCCCCTCAGACAGCATCTTGTTGAGCGCCACGTTGGCCTTCTCGATGCTGCACACCGCGACACGCTCATCCTGCGGTGGGCGCAACACATGCGGGTGACATGAAATGCATGCAGAATACATTGGAGACTTGCGCTTCCTGCTAGATCCCTTCCTCGGCGTTGGCTCACGCAAGGAATGCACCTTATGAACAGGCCGTATCCCAGGAGCTAGCCAGGACTCCGGCGGCGTCAATTAGCTTCCAATGCAGCATCACGGCACAGCCCCAGGCTTGCCCAGGATCGTGGCGCCTAAACGTGACAACCCACCTTGCTAGCCAGCGGCGTGCCCTCCTTGTCGCGCGCCCCCTCGTACCCCTGCACCTTCCAGCGCAGCCCGGCCAGCAGGCCCCCCAGGTCGGCCGTCTTCTCAGATACGATGCTCAGGTACGGCAGCACCAGCAGGCCGCGCGGCGCCGCCGGCGGGCGCTGCGCACGGCCGCGCGGGGGCGGCGCGGCGCGCTGCTCGGCGCGCTGGCGCTGCTCTGCGGCCCAGAGGCGGCGGATCAGGAGGACCTCTGCTACTATGGACTTGCCGCCTGTTATTGAGGCGGTGCATGCGGCAGGCATTGAGACGGAGATCTAACAGAGGGCCAAACGTGTCAAAGGGGTTCTGCACTGAGCGCATGCAGCGTTGCCATAGCGCACGCGGTGTCCATGTGGCAGCAGCCGCAGCGGCCTGAAGATCATCTTTGTTGAGGGGCCCGCCCACCGCTAGTGGGTGCGCAGTAGACCAGGTTGCCGCCACCCTCCCCCTGCTCCAGCGCCGCCGCCTGCCACGGGTACAGTTGCCTCACGCCCTTGGCCGCGTACGCGGCAACCACCTATAGGCATGATGAAGGGAAAGGGTGCCATGTGGTGCGGCTTGCAAGCAAAGGCTGAAGGGTCTAGGTTCTGGACGAGGGTGCAACAGCAGCGCCCAGCCAAACAGCTGGGAGTTCACGGCCTGGCGTGGGGGGCCCGCGCACCTCGGGCGGCAGCGCCCACTCTGTTAGAGGCAGGCGGGTGTCGCTGCTGGGCTTGCGGTTGGGAGGCACGGCTGACGAGCCAGAGCTGCTTTCGGCATGAGGCTGCTGGGGCCCAGGGACCGGCTGCGGCTGCACGTGCTGCTGCGGCCTGAGAGGCGGTACATACTGCAGCTGGCATGGCTGCCGCAGCTGCAGCAGCTGGCGTTGTTCCTGGTTCGGCAGCTGCTGGTGCTGCTGCTGCTGCTGCTGCTGCTGCTGCTGCTGCTGCTGCTGCTTTGGGGGCTCCTGCTGGTGTTGCTGCCGCTGGTCCTGTAGCTGCTGTTGATGCTTCTGGGGATGCTGCTGGCGCTGCACTTCAAGATTATGGGGCTGCTTAGGCACAGCCAACGAGTCAGTATTGCTCGCGCTTTCAGGCTGCTGCGACCTGGGGACTGGCTGCGGCTGCACATACTGCTCTGGCCTGAGAGGAGGTACATATTGCAGCTGGCGCTGCTGCTGCTGCTGCTGCTTCTGCTGCTCCTGCAACAGCTGAGAACGCTCCTGGTCACGCAGCTGCCTGTGCTGCTGCTGCTGCTGTTGCTGCTGCTGCTGCTGCTGCTGCTGCTGCTGCTGGGGCTGCTGATTGTGGTGCTTCTGCTGGTGCTGCTGCTGGTGGTGCTTCTGGGGCTGCTTCTGGGGCTGCTGCTCAAGCTGTTGGGGTTCCTGCTGCAAAAAGTGGGCAGGCCTCCACGGCTGTGGCTGCATTGTTGGCTGCTTCGCAGTGTGATGCAGAGCTGCGGGCTGCAGCCAACCCTGCTTTGCACCATGAGGACCCGGAGGCTGAATATGATCCTCCCGCAGCACCTGCTGTGCGCTTGCGGCCGGCAGCTGGGCCTTGGGCACCTGTGCCTGCAACCCAGAAAACCAGGTCTGCTGCTGCTGCTGCTGCTGCTGCTGCTGCTGCTGCTGCTGCTGCTGGTGATGCTGGTGATGCTGGTGATGCTGGTGATGCTGTTGGTGCCGCTGCTGCTGTTGCTGCTGCTGCTGCTGCTGCTGCTGCTGCTGCTGCTGCTGCTGGTGATGCTGCTGGTGGTGGCCTTGTTGATGGTGGGAGGTCTGCTGCACTGCCTCGCATGGGAGTGGCGCATGCGGGGGCGGGATTGGCAGCGCCCCTGTGGCGATGGCAGCGCTGCGGCCGTGCCCTGCCCCTTGCTGCTTCTGAGGCTGTTGCAAGAAACATGGATCCGTATGTTGGTTCTGGCCAGCATCGCGCTGCCACTCTCCTCGATTGGTGTGTGCTTGGATTTCTTGCTGACAATGTTTGTGCTGCAGGACTGCAGCGTAAACACTGCCCCCGATGGTGCTGCCGTCGCACCGCTGTCGCTTCGCCACAGGCGCAGCTGCATTATGGGTAGAGTGCATCTGCTCGACCGCATGCTGCAACAGGGGCCCGCTGCCCATGCAGGGATTGCAAGATCGAATTTGAAATCAGGCCCACAATCTTAGACGAGAATCGCCATGCCTTCGCAATTTTGATGATTTTGACAATAATATTGATGCGACTAGACACATATGGCGCACGGATCATTCCAGTGCTGTGTCAGGCCTCAACAGCGTCACCCAGCTGTGTCACGCTGAACTGCCCACTCGGCGGCACCGAGTCGGATGAGTGCTGCCAGCGCTGCCTCAGGTCTGATCCTGGGATGATCCCCCCCTTGGACAGGCTTTAATGCTGAACATGCGGGCATGTCAGGAAAACTAACCCACCCCCCTGATTGACTGATGCAGCCGACTACCGTATGGGCATGCTGACGTGTTGGTTGACACACGGCACGCCATGTAACAATGATACAAGTGTCCCCCCCTCTCATTGGCCCTCAAGCACCTCGCATATTTGTGAACCTGGTTCAGAAGATAAAATAATGCCGCAGTCCTTGGTATGGCAGTCGCCTCGACCGAGTGTCCTGTCCAGCCGCAGCCGACGCGTCGCTAGCCCGATTGGGCGGATTTTAAACCCATTGCCGACAATGCAGAGCGGCCCCGCCACACACAAAATGATGCATCGTGAAGGACCTTTCTTAGGCCACAACAACGCCGAACAGCCGCGCCACGGCCAGCGCTGCGCTCGCCAGCATCAGCAATGCCGTCGGCATGACCGTTAGGGCGTAGCCCGGCGCGCGCGCGGGCGCGCCGTTTTCGTAACCTTTGAAAAAGGAGACGCGGCCGAGGAGGAACAGCAGCGAGCAGGTTGGCAGCACCGCCAGCAGCCTGGCCGGCGCCAGCAGCGCAAAGTTGGCATACGCGACTGCGGCGACGGCCAGCTGCTCGAGCGTGTTCTGCAGCACCGCGCAATAGACCTTGGCCTGTGAGGGGTATCAATGCGTGAGGATGTGGAGGATGTGTTTGAGCAGGCTGCATGTCAGTGCATGAGAATGTGATCCATGTTTGTGATCAAGCTATGTGACCTGGTTGCCATCGCAGTGGTCGCCTCAAATTGAGTCGTGTTGGTGTCCAACAAGACAGGCAGTTCATGACAGCGGTGCTTGCTTGACAGATGTGACGAGCAGAATGTGAATGCAGGAGCAAGGGCGACAGACGACCCAGGTGAAGACCACAGAGTGGCCTGAGCTGTTGATGGCGGAGCACGCCCAGCAACAAACATGCAAACGGCCATCAACCCCGGGCCCCATGCAGCATCGGCTGCCTTTCAAGCACGCCGCATTGCAGTGCGCCTGTACCTTGTCGCTTTGCGGCGCCTTGCCGGCGGCGGCGTCAATGTCCTGGACACTGACGAAGCGGTACGTGCTGACGCGGAAGATCAGCGCCAGCAGCGCCAGCGCGGGGGCCAAGCAGCAGCGCGCCGCGAGCTCGAGGCTGGGGATTCCAGCGATGGGCCAGGGCTGCAGGTGTATGGAGGCGGCGCCGGCCGCGACGATGAGCAGCGAGCTGGCGCCCACATTCCGGGCAATCGCCTGCTGCTGGTCGGCGAGGGAGGCGGAGGCGGCGACAGGCGCGACGCGCCGGCGGTCGCGGCTGCTCTGCGGATGCTGGGGCCTGCCATGCGAGGGCCGAGGGGCGAGGGTAGTTGGGTCAGGCAATTTGAACAAAGAGAGGTGGTCAAGATAGGCGAGGCGTCCTCAAACTCGTGTTTCCAGAGCAGGCACAGCCTCGCCACTTGACCCCTCACCGAGCGAAGATGGGCGCGTTGGAACGGTCACCAGCAGGCCTGCTTGTGCTACGCCGAGCCCGCGCCGCTTTGCAGGTCGTCCATGCAGGACTACTGGCCGCGAGCAGCTGCATTTATTTCGTGTTCAAAACGCTGATGTAAATAAGGTGTGTATCAATGAACCGCTGGAGACTTGAGATAGGGACGGGAGCTTGTCCACGATCACGGGCCAGCTGTCGGGGTTTGGCTGAGAATGTAGTCGCTATGATTGTCAAGAATCTGAGGGCACTGCTTGCTTCCCACAGCATCATCAGACACGGTAGTGACCCGGACACCCACGCAGCAGGTGTCATCCGACTGTCATCTCTAATATGATATAATCTGTGGTTCTTGTTTTTATGAGGGCCGCTGTGGCTTGACCAACGATACAATACGCTCTAGTTTGTGGCACTGCCAAACCCTCTACTTAACGGCGGCAGCCTCACAGATGGCCGCATAGGGCCAGACTCTAGCGCCGCGTTGTGGGTTCGTCCCGCTCGAGTCAGCATCATGACAATGCCGAGCCCGCCCGCCCCCTTGCTGGAACTGCCGCCTTGGTGGAATGATCGTTTGTTCGACAGCATATTACATGTATCCCATTGGCGGGCCCATAATTGCAGTTTGCGGCCCGCCGCGCGGCGGCCCGAAACCCCCGTGCGGCGGCCCTGGCGGCCCGCCCTGCCCCGGCCCCGCCGGCGTGCCCGGGATCGGGACTCGGCGCGGGTCGCCGCCGTCTGGCCAGTAGCCATACTTGCTGAAGAACCTGCATCGCAATTTGATGCGGCAAGGGGGGGCTGGGCACCTGCAAGGCAGGCTTACGCCGATGGAGCTGCGTTACCAACTAGCGCTGCTCAGGAGCTCACAGCCCCAGAGGCAGCGCTCCACCACACACGCATGCTTACGACCATCGCGCACAACCTTTAACCCTTGCCCAGCTACAAGTCACGTGCGAAGCGTGCCAGCTGCTTAATTTCATCGTATTCCCGACAGACTTTTTCACATTCACAAGACACTGCCAAAAGAACTCTCCAGGAGGGACCACGCCGCCAATCCCGCCGCCTCACCTCTCCCTCACGTCCGGCTCGTCCAAACGGCTGGCCTGCTGCAGCTGGTTGCCGATGCTGATCCAGCCGGGCCGCAGATTGTGCTCGCGTGCGAAGATCTCCAGCTTGCGGCCGCCTGCAGTGCGAGCCGCAGCAGCACGCTTTAGGCAAGACTCCGTGCGTTGCATCGCGCGCACCGACTGAGGGCGGCGCTCAGGATTGAAGGCATGCACCATCGCTGTGAAGGAGCGCGCCCGATGAAAGCAGGTCGACTGTGTTGTGCAGCGGGCGCGTCTCTTCCGCGCCCGCGCGGGGCGAGGATTTCCGCCCCTTGCCTTACGGGGGGGGGGGGGCGCCCCTTGCCTTACCGGAGGCCCAGGTGTACGGCAGGCGCCGGCCGCAGGTGCAGCCACCCACCTGGGCAGAGCCTCTCGAGCAGAAAGTACATTTCGTCCGGTTTGCGGCTGGTCTCGCGCTGCCCCGTCATGACAACATCACAGTCAAGGTACCTGCGGCGGGGGTGGGGTGGTCCGCCAAGGGGGGCGTGCCCTTTGCACTCGAGTCGCGGTCAAACGACTGCGGTGTGCGAAGGGTCTGGTTGGTCGACCCTGGCTGTCCGCACTCTCGCGCAGGCGCCAGATACAAACGGGGGAGTGGCCGGAGAGGTGCTCGCGCAGGTAGCTGCCTTGATCTTGCTCGTTTCCAGCCTTCTGCTGGGAGCCCCGCCTGGGAGGCGAAACGAGCATCGCAGGTCGTAGGCAAACCCCCACTTCCACCTCCCACCACCCTCCCCAAAAAGAAACCACTTGCGCACGCACAAACAATGATTCACTCACACACGAAATAACCAAACATTGCTCGCAAACACACACACACACACACACA